AGCTGTGGCAGGCCCTTCACATTCGGCAGGTTCAGCTGCGGCAGTGACTCGATTGGGCTGGGTTCCGGCCTGTGGCCAAGGAGTTGCGGGCTTCGTGCGTAATTTAGGGGCCTTGGAAATTAGAATAGGGTTTTGGGGGATACTATACTATAGTTATTATAAGGAACCCCCACAATAGTTTTGGTACTTATTTGGGGCTTTCCGAAAATATGGGACCCTAATCTAGCACCCTAAATAGTAGGATCCTTAGTATAAGGACCCCAAATAAGGTACCCCTAATTTTCGGAAACTCCCATTTAGGCCGCTTATTAAGAAGGATGAGGCTTATGGGTTCTCACTGTCTCTTTCATGGAACCGCTGTAGGGTTTAGGGCTTAGGGTTTTAGGGTTTAGGGTTTAGGGTTTAGGGTTTAGGGCTTAGGGTTTAGAGTTTAGGGTTTAGGGTTTAGGGTTTAGGGTATGGGAAGTCGGCAATCGAACATTCATGAGCCAAGATGGACCCTAAAGCAAAGATTCTTCCCTTGAACCCTAAACTCTAAACCCTAAGCCCTAAACCGTCTAAATGCCCGTCAGGGATGGCATCAATGTGTGATTCAACGCCCAGGCCGAAACCCTCAACCCGAATTCCTAAAACCTAAACCCTGAACCGAATTCCTAAATCCATAAATCCCTGAGACCGAAACCATAAAGGCTTTGGAGAGAATCCGGGTTGCTTCGCGGGTTTGCCGCCAAGCAACTGAGGGTTTAGGGTTTAAGGGTTCGGGGTTAGGCTTTTTGTTTAAGTGCAATGGCTCTTTCTCCGCAGATCCCAGAGCCCGCTCTTGTAGGTTAGGCTTTAGGGTTTAGAGTTTCGGGTTTCGGCTTTAGGGTTTCGGATTTTTCTTTCAGGGTCTTGGGTTTGGGGTTTAAGGCCAAGCCGCGGCAACCAGATGCACAAACAAGCTGAATGGTGCTACGTGTGGTTTAGGGTTTCGGGTTCCTGCTAGGTAATTGAACAGGTTGAGGGATAGAGTCATCTGAGCTCGGATTTCTAGCTGTGCTGGCTCTTGCTTCTTGAAGGGTTTAGGGTTTAGGGCAAGCTCCTCCCTACACTTCCAGCCTCAAGCCGCCTTGGCTCAGTAGCCGCTCAGCCAGGCGTGTGAGCCCACGTCGCGCTACTGGAACAGACAGGGTTCGGGGTTTTGGGTTAGTTTGCGTGATGGGACCGTTGGTTTTCAAAGCTCAGGGTTGTATTGTAAGGACTACGGGTTGAGCCTTTTGCCGACCCTAAACCCTACACCCTAAACCTCAAACCCTAAACCCTAAACAGAGCCTAGGAAGCTCTTCGAACTGAGATCTTCCATCCGGAATTCTTTCAGGTACTCGATGAGTCTGATTGCTAAGAGTAGTCCGGTTCCATTCCTATGATGTAGAGGCCTTAATCATTAGAACGATTGGGGGTATATTATACTATAACTATCCTAAGGAACCCCCAAAATAGTATAGGTAAGAATTAAGGCCCCTATGGTATATCCGTAGCACCGCACTTGCCTCCCAAAGCATATTGGGGGTGCCCTGGAGTCCCTATTTGTCATTCTTTGGGTGATGTGAGCACGGAGGAGTAAGATGCGACACCCGCATGTCTTCTTTACCATTTTCGGAGGTTCTGTCTTTCATATAGGCTGGGAATAGTAGTAGTAGTAGTAGTAGTAGTAGTAGTAGTATAAGTAGTAGTAGTATAAGTAGTAGTAGTAGTATAAGTAGTAGTATAAGTAGTAGTATAAGTAGTAGTATAAGTAGTAGTAGTAGTAGTAGTAGTAGTAGTAGTAGTAGTAGTAGTATAAGTAGTAGTAGTATAAGTAGTAGTAGTACAAGAAGCAGTAGTATAAGTAGTAGTAGTAGTAGTAGTAGTAGTAGTAGTATCCCCGTATAGCCCTTATCGTTAGATTGTACTTGGCCGCAAACCCCCTAAACAACTACAGCATCAAACCCAAGCCCAATTAGCCTGAAACTCTCCGTTCCTCAAGCCGTAACAACAATCTTTTTGGAAGGCTACGTAACAAGAACCTATACAACCGCCACTCAGAGTTGTAAAAACCCTAAACCCTAAACCCTCAACCCTAAAACTCTAAACCCTAAAACCCTAAACCCGAATCCCTAAACCCTAAACCCTAAACCCTAAACCCTAAAACCCTAAAACCGTAAAACCGTAAAACCAAAAAAAAGGAGCCCCTGAAAGGCACCTTCCCAGGCTCCCGCGCCTCTTCTCTTGCGCAGCTTGGTGGCGCCGACCACAGCTGCCAGGGTGGAGCAAGGCAACACCAAGGAGTGTCGCCTGGGGAGGGTTGCAACTGGTGGGGGTTTAGGGTTTAGGGTTTAGGGATTAGGGTTTGGGGTTTAGGGGTTAGGGGCTAGGATTTAGGGTTTAGGGGTTAGGGTTTAGGGCTTCTGGTGGGGTTCCTATGCAGGGCTTTGTTGGGATTCATGTAGAGGCCTTGATAATTAGAATAGGGTTTCGGGGTTCCTTATTATACTTATAGGAAAATATGCCCCAAACCCTATTCTAATTAAGAAGATTCGGTTGTGTGACCTACAATGACAGCAGGAGCCCTGGGGAGCAGTATTACAAATTATTAGCGCTTCTGCTTTGCCCAAAAAACCCAGCCGACCCTCATCCCTAAACCCTAAACCCTAAACCCCCCAAAAACCCTGTCAACCCTGATTCTAAACTCTCTACACCCCTCTGTGGCACCCCAAACCCAGACCGAGGAAGCGCGGCGAGATCCAACCCCCACCTCCTTGCGGCTTGGGGTTTAGGGTTGAGGGTTCAGGGTTTAGGGTTTAGGGTTCAGGGTTTGGCGTTCAGGGTTTAGGGTTTAGGGTTTAGGGTTCAGGGTTTAGGGTTTAGGGTTCAGAGTTTGGGGTTTTGCCCACCCTAAACCCTAGAACCATAAGCCCTACACTGGGCCCTACAGCCTAGAATCGAACCGTAGAACCCCGAGCCCGATGACTGAAACCTCTGGACCCTGAACCCTGAACCTTAAACCCTAAGACTAAGCCCCAAAAACCCACTAAACCCTAAACCCCTAAACCCTAAACCCTAAACCCAAAACCCAAAACCCAAAACCCGAACCCCTAAACCCTAAACCCTAAGCCCCTAAACCCCCTAAACCCTAAACCCTAAACCATAACATGCCCGGTGATCCGCCTCGGGCTGGGTGCCCGGTTTGTCTTGCCAGCCACTGCTGGCCGCACGAGGCCTCGGTATGGCGCCTGGAATTGAGTTGGCCATTCGGCGGTCGGGTGCGAAGGCTCTTGGGCTTTAGGGTTTAGGGATTGAAGGGTTTAGGGGTTTAGGGGTTTAGGGTTTCGGGCTTGGGGTTTGGAGTTTAGGGTTCAGGGCTCGGGCTCTAGAGCTAACTTGTAGACGGGCGGGTTTCGGGGTTCGAGGGTAGTTCTATGTACGGCGATGAGTACGAATACCTGTCTTGGGAATTGCATTTTTTCCCAGCCCCCCTTTTAGCTGTCAAGGAACCTTTAAACGAGAGTGAGATTAGGACTGACTGTCTGGATTGGCTTCGAGTGTAATGCCTTGGCATGATTGGGTGAATTGGGGTATGTTATGGTGTGATCATATGTGGACTCCAACGGATAATACCACTTATTCAGGCTAAACCTCTGTACTACAGAGCACAAGGTGCGCAACCAACCGCCACAAACCATTCTGTGCACCCCCTGCAAGTCACGCCCCTTGCCCTAAACCCTAAACCCCTTTTATAAACCCTAAACCCCTAAACCCGAAACTTCTAAACGCTCAACCCTAAACCCTAAGCCCTAAATCCTAACCGCAAACCCTAGACCCTAAACCCTAAACCCTTGCTCTGAAGCCTGCACTCACCTTCAGGCAAGAAGAAACCCAGCGGAGGAACTTCTCGGCTCCATTTACAGAAAAGCTTCAATAATATAGGGGCCTTGTTCTGGGATTTGGGGTTTAGGGCGTAGGGTTTAGGGTTTAGGGGCCTTGTTCTGGGAATTGGGGTTTAGGGTTTAGGGCTTATAATCTCAATAATGTAAGGTGCCTTCATAAGTACCTATACTATTTTTTGGGGGGTTCCTGCCTATAACTAGAGTATCATGTTCCCCAAAACCCTAGTCGAAATATTAAGGCCCCTATATTTATCGGAACCTGGTTCTGGGATATACGAGAATCCTGATAACGAGCTTTTAGGGTTTAGGGTTTAGGGTTTAGGGCTGAACCAAACTGAGGGCAACTGACTACCGTGAGCCCCAAAGGCCTTGCCACAGCCGAGCGGGTGCAGCTCCAATGCCGCCATGATGAACGGTTGTGGAATGTGCTACAGGTCAGTGGAAGTCTTTGTATCACCCTGCAGCATGAGGCTGTGAAAGCTTTACTGCCGTGCTCGTGGAAGCTGCGTGTTTATTGCCATCGTTGCCATGCTTGTGCTGACGCCGCTCTGGCAAGCTACACGCTAGCCATCCAAACACCGAACAGTTTGGATCATCACGGTGCTCCAGCACGGACCAGTGCTCGAATGATCGGATGTCTTGCTGCAGAACCCGAAAGCCAGCTCACTTTTTCAAGCGGTTCGGGCGGTGGGCAAGTCTTGCACCACAACGGGTCTTAGCCGATGCCATCTCTTGAAGAAGGCAAACGACCTTTCTGTCCAAAGGAGAAGGTCGCAGGGCCGCACGGCCTCGCCGAATGCCGTCGTACAAACAAACGACGAGCTCTGGAAGCGTTTGGAGTGCGGTGACGTAAGGTACATCTCTGATCACGGCGAGGCCATGCAGCAAGGAGCTGTTCAACTGCAGTGCTGGACATCGTTTAAACAAGTTCAAAGTGTCTGAGTACAGCGACTCTGCTCCACAAGACAAAAAAACAGTTTCAGCTGTCTGAAGATTCTTCAAACTCTGTGAAGCCGGCGTCTCTCTACGGAGATTCGCCGAGATTCCCTCTGCCTTGCAACTTTCTACAAGGCACCCGAAACAACCAAATCATCCCTAGTATCCGGGGATGCAAGGGATCTTCGCACATTTCGTTTCGGAAGCCTGTGGGTTCCTGCTCTTGTCATAAGGTTCGAAAGAGGTGGCATCGTCACAGGAACTGAGAAGGGGGGTGAGCTTTGACTTCGGGCGGAAGTAGGAGTAGCAAGCCTTGATCGCAAAGAAGACATTAGCCGTCGCGAACCCGAAGTAGATGATCACGGCCACCACGAGCTCCGTATTGTGGAGGTGATGCGTTGCCAAGCAATTTTCCGCCACAATGAGCCCGAGGAAGAACCAGCAAACGAGCACGTACCAGTCAAGCCCCGTGTTGTATCCGATCTTCGGGACCATCTGAGCGATGATGAACTTGAAAGCCACGGCCGTCAGGATAAGCATCACTGAAGTCGACAAACGATCCCCAATGAGATCGTTCGGAATGGCCATGGAAGCGGCGCTTAGGCACACCAACGCGAACATTGGAAGCAAGATGTTGCACATGTAGAAGGAGGGGATGCGCTGCAGCTGCACGGTGGCCTTAAGAAGTGGGAACTTCTTGTTCACTTTGTGCGTCTCTTCGTTGGTGAACTCCGTGTGGATGTACAGCCGGTTTTGAAAGGGCCGCGTCCATGTGTTACCCAAGTGGAAATTGTTCAGGATCACCTTGTGCTGCAATGAAAGTGTACATATGGGTACGCAAACTAACATACATGCATCCATGCACTCCATAATACCTACATACAGACAGACGGACAGACAGACAGACAGACAGAGAGGCATACGCAGACAAACACATAGACATAGTGCATACATGCATACATGCATACCCGCAAATGCATGCATCTATACAGTTACATATGCATACCAGCATACACAGACAGATGCATGATATGTAGAATATGCAAATGAATTCGAACAATACGTGTGAGAGTTTCGAATACAAAACCCGTAGGATATCTAATGTAGGGGCCTTAATAATTGGAATAGGATTTTGGGGGTTCCTTACTATAATTATGGTATAGTATACCCAAGCCTTATTCTCATTATTAAGGCCCCCATAACGCACCCTAAACCCTAAACCCTACACCCTAAACCCTAAACCCTAAACCTTATAATTAATACTACAAGCCCAAACTAAGAACCACAAGTTGGAGCATCGGACTCTATCGGACTTTCAGGAACCGATCAAGACAGGGCCTGGCTACAATGTAGGGGCCTTAAGACTTTAAGAACTTCGTTTAGGGTTTAGGGTTTAGGGTTTAGGGTTTAGGGGGGCCTTAAGAATTTCAATAGGGCTTTGGGGCATAGTATACTATAATTATAATAAGGAACCCCCAAAACCCAATTCTAATTATTGAGGCCCCTACATTAGCCAAGCGCTAAACCCCAAACCTTAAAACCTAGACCCTA